CATCAGCATCATAAACATCATCATCGTCCACAGCATCATCGTCCTCATCCCCACCCATCATCATCCTGATCCTCATCCAAATCATCCTCATCCTCTCCGTCGTCATCGTCTTCGTCAACATCCCCATCACCTTCACCATAACTAGCATAACCAGTACCGCCATCATTAACAACATCCTCATCCTCCGTATCACCATCATCACCACCACCACCACCATCATCAGCAGTCATCATTATCAGCATCATCATCATCATCATCATCATCATCATCATCATCATCATCATCATCATCATCATCATCATCATCATCATCATCCTCGTCGTTATCATCACCCATCATGATCACTCGTCGTTATCTCGTCATCAGCATCATCATCATAATCGTCATCGTCATCGCCATCCACATAGTCATAATCATAATCATGATCAGAATCATCAGCAGCATCATCATCATCATCATCATCATCATCATCATCATCATCATCATCATCATCATCCACAGCATCATCAGCATCATCCTGCTGCGCATCACCACAACCACCACCACCAGCATCATCATCATGATCACCAACCTCATCAGAATCAGCATCATCATCAGCATCAGCATCATAACGATGATCAGAATCACCCCTGGTTCCCTTAGCATCATCGTGCTTGTTCTCGTCGCCCTCGTCTTCAACATAACCTCTGTCTTTTCGAACATCATATCATGTTTGTCGTCCTTTTTCCTCCACCTCCTCTACTCGTCCATCCCTGCATCGCTTCCGTCTCCTCATCAGCCTCATCAATCTTCTAATCCTGCTCCTCCTCCTCCGCCGCTTAGTGAGACTCCTTCCCGAAATACTGTACCTAGTTCTTGATTCGGATGCTTCTGGTCCTTTTCGCTTTCGGTCAGGTAGGGGGCAGAAGCGGGTGGCCCACTCAACTGTCACGCGATGCCATGCCGACAACTTTCACTTTCGATGTGGACGTCTTGTCGTCGACGCTGCAAAACCTGCGTGGCGGGAACGGGGACGCGACGGGCGTGTTTCGCACGGGAATAGGGCGAAGAAACCTAGACATATCCACTGCTCCCTAGCCAGGCCCATCCTGAACCCAGCGGCGGTGCATACGCCACGCCCTCCTGGCTTGGCCAGGAAGGCGTATACACAGCTCTTGGGCCCAGGAAGAACCAGGCCTGGGGGTAGTGGAGATGTGTAGATTTAAGTCGGGCATGTCCTCCTACAGGGGGAGTTGGACGCACAATCAAAAATATTCAAAATATACCCAGAAATGGTCAGCAATAATCCAGAAAGCATCCCCAGACTATTTTTGACTATTTTTGTATACTCCTCCTGTAGAGGGACAGGCCCGACTTAAGCATAGATCTCGCCGCCGGAAGGAAGGACGAGGTGCCGCTCTCGCCCTGGGCGGCCTGCGGCCTCCTTTGTCGACAAGCCTTGCGCACCCCCGCCCGGGCGAGAGGGACGAACTTATCACCCGCCAGAGGTGGTCCCGGGCCTGCGCCGGATCGCGTCGCGAAACCGGCTCGGAGCGGAGCGGAAACGGATCCTCCTCCTCCGCCTCCCCCTCCTAGGCACAGCCTGGCGACGGACAGCGTCTGTCCACCGCCTCCCCCTCCTCCTCCTCCTCCTCCTCCTCCTCCTCCTCCTCCTCCTCCTCCTCCTCCTCCTCCTCCTCCTCCTTGGCCAGCGAATCGTCCCGAATCGGGCCGAAATCGGATCGCTGCTCCCAGCCTCTGGCTGGCCCCGGCCGATGGCAGCGGGCCGAGCCGAAGCGGATCGAATCGCAGAATCGCAGGAGGGAGGCGGAGGAGGAGGACGAGGATGATGAGGGAGGAGAACGAGGCAGGAGGACGACGATGAGGGAGGAAAAGGAGGAGGAGGCGGAGGAGGAGGAAGAGGAAGGAGAAGACGGATGACAAAGGAGGACAAGGCTGAAGGAGAAGGAGGAGGAGGAGGAGGAGGACGGATCAGGAGCGGTGGGGCAAAGCAAAACGTCTGGACCTTGCTCTCCTGGGCGTCCTGGCGGGCCCTCGCCGCCCGGGGATGGTTACACCGGTGCCTCCTGCGGGCGCCCGCCTCGACGGCGCCGGGGCACGAGCTGCAAAGGCGCCCGGCGAGCGGGGGTGAAGGGCCCCTGGGACACACAAATACGCAGACACAAATCCCAGGATTCCCCATAGCTTTCCATATCTTCGCAGTGTTCGTCTCCCCCCACACTTTTTTCCCATATGTCCCATATGTTCCCATATTTTCCCATGTTTTCCCATATTCCCCAGATTCCATATCTTCCCATATTTTCCCATGTGTTCCCATATTCTCCAGAGGACCAACGTTCGTTTGTGCCTGCGTTCTGCTTCCCCTACCTGCGAGGGGGGAAGCGCCGCGGCGCGCGTCCTCGGCGGCCCTGGCCTCCTCGGCGGCCCGGGCCTCCTCGGCGGCCCTGGCCTCCGCGGCGGCCTTGGCCTCCTCCGCCGCCCGGGCCGCCTCCGCCGCCCGCCGCGCCTCCTCGGCGGCCCGGGCCTCCGCGGCGGCCTTGGCCTCCGCGGCGGCCTGGGCGCGGGCCGCCTCCTCGGCGGCGGCCCGGGCCCGCTCCGCCGCCTCGGCGCGCTGGGCCTCCTGGGGTGCGCGCGCCCGCGGGAGGGGGGGGGGGAGGAGGAGGAGGAGGAGGAGGAGGAGGAGGAGGAGGAGGAGGAGGAGGAGGAGGAGGAGGAGGAGGAGGAGGATAGAGGAGGAGGAAGAGGAGGAGGAGGAGGGGGAGGGGGAGGGAGGAGGAGGAGGAAGAGGAGGAGGAGGAGAGGAGGAGGGGGAGGGGGAGGAGAGGAGGAGGAGGAGGAGGAGGAGGAGGATTTGGAGGAGGAGGAGGAGGAGGAGGAGGAGGCATCTCACGGCCGCGCGAGGGAGACCCAAGAGCACTAATAACGTGGCCTCGAGCGGGGATCGGGGCCCCCTGAGCGGGAGATCCACCGACGGGCGCGCTGGGCCTCCTGGGGGCGCGCGCCCCGGGGGGGGGGGACGTCGTGAATTGAGAGCTCGGGAGTAGAAAGTGTCACCATGTTGTTTCGGCCACTTCCGTAACTGTGATGGCTCCGGGTCTTTGCACTGACACGCTGTGCTGCTTTGGGCCGGCGCTCAAGACGATCCTACAGGGGTCGGCGCACACTCGAGTGGGGTGGCACTTACAGGTCTTTGCAACAGGAATTTCGTTTGTCTTCGAGGTCATTGTCGTCATCTCTACTTTGATCGTCGTTCTCATCTTTCAAGGGGGGGGAGGGGCGGGGATCGGGGCCCCTCGAGCGGGAGCTCCACCGACGGGCACGCTGGCCAGCGACCCAGCGAGCCCGACCCTTCCCGAGGTGGGCAGCGCCGCCATGGTGCCAGAAGGAGGCCCTTGAATGGCAGCTGTCGGCAAACCTCCAGAGTGCACGTGGGGGAGTGCCCGTCATTGGGTCATTGGCGGCGAGCGAGAGGGGGGGAAACGAGAAGGAGAAGGCCTTCTCAAAGGCGGCGGGACTTTTCAGAAGCCCTCGCGCCTTCGGATCTTTTTGGTGTCTTCCAGGGAAGGCCTAGAAAACTTCTCAGAAGGCGTGGGGACTTCCAAGCCTTCTGAGAAGGCCCGCCCCTTCTCATTTCCACTCCTCGCTCGCCGCCCACGTTACCAGTGGAAAAAAAAATGGCACAAACCTAAAAACCCGGAGGTTCGCGCGGATGTCTTGGATCCGAACTGGGCCCCGTTCCCTGGCGCGCGAAGCGCGCCAGGGGCGGCGCCGGAAGCGCCGCCAGGGGGCCCCAACACTGATCCGAGAAATCCGCGCGGACCTCTGAGTTTTTATGCTGATGCCATTGTTCGTTCCCCTACCCTCGCTCGCCGCCGACATAACTGGACAGGCGCGTCCCACTACTCGCAAATCAACTGCTCGCAAATTGCCCAGATCCACCGCGGGGGATCTACGATACACTACCTAGAGGAAGACCTGTGTATCTCGGGCGTCTGCGAGTAGGCACTTTGCAAGTAGTGGAACGCGCTCGGTGAGTTACGGTGCCGCTGAGTGGAGGCCGAGGTGGCGCTGCCGGGAGGAGGAGGAGGAGGAGGAGGAGGAGGAGGAGGAGGAGGAGGAGGAGGAGGAGGAGGAGGAGGAGGAGGAGGAGGGGGAGGAGGAGGAGGAGGAGGAGGAGGAAGAGGAGGAGGAGGAGGAGGAGATGGAGGAGGAGGAGGCGTAGGAGGGGGCGGCGGAGGAGGAGGAGGAGGAGGAGAAGGAGGAGGAGGAGCCCCCAGGAGGGCACTTCGGCGTGTGGGCGGCACGTTGAGGCTCCTGGGGTGAACTGAAATCCGCCAAGACGTCGCCTGCGCGGGGGCGGCGCGGCGGGCCAGGGGCGTCGGTGCCCTGACGGGCCTGGGGCGGCCCCCCCGAACTCTAGCGGTGGTCCCTCTGTGGTTCGGGTCTGCCGTCTCAGGTCCCTCGGGGACCTGGCGTTCTGGGGCCGCGAGGGTACCCCCCCTGGGACGGCGTGGATCTCGGTCCGCGTCATCCTGCGGGTACCTGCTCCTGCGGGGGCAGGCCCCAGCCACTGTATTGGCCCTCCCGTCACGTCACGGGACAAGGGTGTGGCTGGGGGGGTCGGCCTACGGGCACGGCTCAAGACGTGGTCCCACCTGACCCCCTTTGGGCAAGGGGGTCTGCGGGGGTGGGTCTGGGCACCCATGACCTTCCCGCACCTCGTGCCCCGGCGCGGTGGCCCGTTGGGGGTGTAACCTGGTGCTGGAAGAGCCAGGTAGGCATGGGGGCCGCTCACCTTCGGTGAGTCGGTGCTGCACGTCGTGCAGCACATGTGAGGCCGGCGCCTCTTTCCTCTTCCTTTTTCTCTCTCTCTCACCGTCTTGTTCTCCTCTTCTTCTTCTTCGAGGGCCCCGTCCGGCGTGTTGCTCCCTCCCCCATGCTGCTAGGGAGTCGTGGGGGGTGTGGGCGTTTTGTCCCCCTCCGCGTACAAGCGTGAACAGACGCTATGTTGCGCTATGCTTTGGCGAGGGGGAGGAAGGAGGAGGAGGAGGAAGGAGGAGGAGGAGGAGGGAGGGAGGGAAAAGGAGGAAAAGGAGGGGAGGAGGAGGAGAGGAGGAGGAGGAGGAGGAGGAAGCGAGAGGCGAGAGGGAAGGAGGGGGGGGGCGCGCGGCGACGGGGTCCGCCGGGCGGCGGCGGAGGCGAGAGGCGGAGGCGGACGCCCGCGGCGGCGAGGGCGGCAGACGCCCACCGCCTCCCGCTTCCAACGGCGGCAGGGGCGGCCCAGGGCGGCCAACGCCCAACACAGCACACAGCACACACACACACACACACACACAGCACACACACACACACACCACACACACACACACACAGCACACACAGCACTGACACACACACACACAGCACACAGCACACAGCACACAGCACACAGCACACAGCACACACACACACAGCACACACACACACAGCACACAGCACACAGCACACAGCACACACACACACACACACACACAGCACACACACAACACACACACACACACACAACCCACACACACACACACACACACACAACATACACACAACACACAAGATACGCACACATAACAAAACAACGGGAGGGTTTGTGCTGCTATTCCTGGCCCCGGGGGGGGATTCGTCTCCTTTCCCCGAGCATGTGAAGCCCTCCCTTTGGACACCCCCCGTTCCTTCCGCAGAACGGAAGCTTCTTCCATGGCCCCACGCAACGCTCTCCCTTTCTCTCTCTCTCTCTCTCTCTCTCTCTCTCTCTTTCCCTCTCTCTCTCTCTCTCTCTCTTTCTCTCTCTCCCTCTTTTTTTCTCTCTCTCTCTCTCTCTCTCTGTCTCTCTGTGTACAGATGTCTCTTTCTCTCTCTCTCTCTCTCTCTCTCTCTTACGCCCACTGATTATCGCTCTTGCTCTCACCCCACCCCGCCTTCACTCTCACGTTTGTTCGTGCTTCCATCCCCTGACCGCACCCCACGAGGCCAGCGACCCTGGCCCCAAGACCCGAACCCAAACCCCGAACCCAGAACTTCCAACCCCCAACAGCCCCGACCCTTGACCAAGACACCGTCACACCGATCAGGGACTGCGACCGCCCTGGCCCCCAAACAGAACACCGACCTCGCTCGACGGCGCGGGCGGCCCAGGTGGCCACGGCGGCCACGCCGACGGCGGCGACTAAAGCGGCGGCCAAGGCGGCGGCCAAAGGCGGCGACGGCGGCGGCGGCGCCTAAGGCAGTGGCCAGGGCGGCGGACGCAAGAGCGGCGGCGGCGGCAGCGGCGGCGGCGGCGGCTGCGGCAGCGGCGCCTCGGCGCGGCGCGCCTCCTCGGCGGCCCTCGTGCGGTCCCGTTCGGCGGCGCTGGCCCGCTGGGCCTCCTCGGCCTGCTGGGCGCGCACGGCCTCCTCTGGGCGAAGCGCAGGCACGAGCAGTTCGCATCGAATCGGGAAGCCCAAGGGCGCCCAACTTTGCGTTGCGCACTGCGTGATGCGCAAGCAGCTTCGCGCTCCCGAGCCGCCCGGCAGGGGAGAAGAGGAGGACGAGGAGTCGGAGCCGAACCGCGGAGCGCGAAGCGCGACTAACTTCGAACCCTCGAGGGTGTCCTTGGAAATCGGATCGAACCGAAAGTTTCGTCGAATCGGGCTGCATCGGCACGGAGTCAGACTCGAATCATGTCGGCTGCGCCGGAATGCACACAACGGCGCCACGCAAGCACTGGCGCCGCACCAGATCGTCCAACGTCGGAATCGAATCGACTGGGTCGGCCAAAACCGAGAGCGAATCGGATCGATCGGACCGAAATGGGTAAAGGGGCCCAGGGACATACAAATAAATACACAAAAATCCAAACATACCATATTTTCCTATATGTTCTGGGTTTTCGTCCTCCCCCCCCTTCCCATATGTTCCCTTCTTTCCCTGGGAGTCGACGATGAATTGTGTTTGTGTGTTTTTTCCCCACCTGAATGGACCCTGCGCGGAGGTACCTCGGGACCTCTGGGAGCTGGATGCGGCCGGGCGCCCGGGCCCTTCTGGGGCGCTCTGGGGAGCGCCCCGAAGGCGTCGCGGAGTCCTCTGGCGCGAACTGCCCGCCCTAGCCCGGCCTCGGGTTCGAGGGCGCGAAGTTGCTGGGCGCTTCTGGCCCTCTGCGGGCCTCCTGGTGCACTTTCGGGGGCCTATGAGGACCTCCAGCCCTCAAGAGGCGGTCGTCGTCGTTGTCCTTGCCGCCGCCGTGGTCGTTGTCGTCCGCCCGTCGTCGTCGCATTTCCCCCGTCACCGCTGTTGCGCCGCCCGCGTAGGATTCCTCGTCACTCGCCCAGAAATTCTCTGCTCGCCCACGGCGGTTTCGTTCACATTGAGGTCACCCCGTTTGTCGGCGGCGAGCGAGGGGGGAAGTTAGAAGGAGAAGGCCTTCTCAACAGTCCTGCGGCCTTCTGAACACTTGTCCGTGTCTTCGGGGAAAGCTTAGAAAACCTCTCG